GTTGTACTGAGATAAATCAATACAATCAATACATCATGGTTGTACAAATAGTGATAAATCAGTCAATTTTATCCACGAAGTAAAGAAAAAATCACAAATTTATTATTTGATATATATAATTCTTTTTATTGTTATGTAACGATTTTTTACAAGAGATAAAACATTGCATTGTTACATTCGGTACAACTGTGTTGTATTGATTATACTGAGATAAATTAGTACAACCAATACTACATGATTTTACAAGTAGTGATAAATCAGTTAATCATAACCACAAGAAAAAATTAAAATTAGAAATTCATACTTTCTATATACAATTCTTTTTATTTTTAAGTTATCATTTTTTCAACTGATAGAACATTGGATCGTTTCATTCGGTACAATCTTATTGTATAGGTTGTACAAGTAGTGATAAATCATTCAATAATAGCCAAGAGAAAAAATAAAATTAGAAATTCATACATTTTATGCACAATTTTTATTTTCATGTTACGATTTTTTACAACAGATAAAATATCGCATCGTAACCTTCGGTATAATCGTATTGTATCAGTTATATTGAGATAAATCAGAATAACCAATATAACATGATTGTATAAGTAGTAATAAATCAGTCAATTATATCCAGGAGAAAAAAAATGAGAAAATCATTCTTTTAATACATACAATTTTTTATTATTATTATGTTGTGATTTTTTATAAGAGATGCTACATTGCATCGTTTCTTTTGATGCAATTGTGTTGTATCAGTTGTACTAAGATAAATCAGTACAATCAATATAACATGATTATACAAATAGTAATAAATTAGTCAATCATAACAATGAGGAAAAGCAAAAATAAAAAAAAAATCATATTTTCTATATACAATTCTTTTTGTTTTTAAGTTAATATACAATCTTGTTGTATTGATTGTAATAAGAAAATTAGTACAACTAATACAACATAATTGTACAAGTAGTGATAAATCAGTCATCTTAGCTAAGAGAAAAAAAATAAAAATTAGAAATTCGTACTTTTTATATATAATTTATATTTTTTTGATATGATTGTCTATAACATATATAATATTGCATCATAACCTTCAATATAATCGTATTGTATCGATTGTACTGAGATAAATCAATACAACTAATACCACAGTAATAAATCAGTTAATCATATCCATGAGGAAAAACTAAAATTACAAATTCATTATTTCTATATATATGATTCTCTACATTGTGTGTTATGATTTTTTACAATGGATACAACATTGCATCGTTTCCTTCGGTACAACCGTTGTTGTGTCGGTTGTACTGAGTTCTCAGTACAACCAATACAATAAGTAGTGATGACTCAGTCAATCATAATCGCAAGAAAAAGTAAAAACTAGAAATTCATATTGTATATATACAATTCTTTTTATTTTTAAGTTAAGATTTTTTACAACTGATAGAATATTAGATTGTTCCCTTCGATACAGTCTTGTTGTATCAATTATAATGAGATAATTTGGTGCAACCAACACAACATGATTGTACAAGTAGTGATAAATCATTCAATCATATCCATGAGGAAAAAAAATTACGAATTCATTCTTTCTATATATTCAATTATTTTTATTGTTATGTTATGATTTTTGACAAGTGATAGAAAAATGGATCCTAGCAAAGAGAAAAAATAGAATTAGAAATTCATATTTTCTATATATAGTTTTTATTTTCATATTACGATTATTTACAAATGATAAAACATTGCATCATAATCTTCAGTACAACCTTGTTATATCAGTTGTACTGATACTAAGATAAATCAGTACAATCAATACAAAATGGTTGAACAAGTAGTGATAAATCAGTCAATCATATCCATGTGGAAAAAAAATTACAAATTCATTCTTTCAATATATACAATTCTTTTTAATTGTTGTGTTACGATTTTTTACAACATATATTACATTTCTTCGTTCATTTTGGTCATGATGTAGAAGTTGTACTAAGATAAATAAGTACAACCAATACAACATTATTATACAAATAGTAATAAATTAGTCAATCATAACAATGAGCAGAATTAAAAATTAAAAATTCATATTTTCTATATACAATTTTTTTTTAATTTTTAAGTTAATATTTTTTACAACTAATATAACATTGGATCGTTTCCTTCGGTATAACCTTGTTGTATCGGTTATACTGAGATAAATCTGTACAACCAACACAACATGGTTGTACGAATAGTGATAAATCAATCAATCTTAGCTAAGAAAAAAAATAAAAAATTAGGAATTCATACTTTCTATATACAATTTTTATTTTTTTGTTATGATTTTTATAATAGATAGAACATTGTATCGTAATAATCGGTACAACCATGCTAAATCAGTTATACTGAGAAAAATTAAAACAACCAATATAACATGGTTGTACAAGCAGTGATAAATCAATCAATCTTTTCCACGAGGAAAATAAAAAAAATTATAAATTCATTCTTTCTATATATACAACTTTTTTTATTGTTATGTTATGATTTCTTACAAGTAATACTACATTGCATTGTTCTTTTCGGTACAACCGTGTTTTGTTGGTTGTATTGAGATAAATCAATACAACAAATACAACATGATTGTGCGACATAAAATTAGCTAATCCTAGCCAGAATAATAAGCAAAAATTAAAACTCATTTGTAAGCACACAATCAAGCTAATCTCCTTCGAATATGGATTATTAAATATTACATGCATCAAACTGCTCCAATTAAAAAAAAAATAATAAAGCTTACATATTAACAAGTAAATGAAATTTTATTTCAAACTACCAATGAGTTCAAGAATATAATTTTATTACCAAAAAGAGAAACGGTTATCACCTCAGGGTTATTTAATTTATCACTCTGGTTGTTCTTCCGCCTCAAGGTTCTTCTTAAGTTTCAGGATTGACAACAATCTTTTCTTGAGTTTCGGCAACGATAACGTTTTCTTCCTGAGTTTTGGCAACGACAACGATTTCTTCCTGATGTTCTATAACGAAATCTTTTATATTTAAACCCTAAAATGTTGAACGATCAAATATTCTTATTTTGTTTTCAAATTTTTTACATATTTTTTCCTATGTTAAAATGTCGCGCCAATACCATACGAGAGGCAGAGTCGGGCCACGCCGTCACTTTCGTTGTTTATTATGAATTTTTTATAATAAAATAATGATAAAAATATAAAAACATGTGACATATTTAGATTGGCTTATGCACATAACTCTACGTGTGTTATTAGGATAAAATAATTTTTCCATATTGAGGGCGCTGACGGAGTAGTGGCGCACCGTAGTTTTTGTCTGTTGGCAAAAATGAATTTTGTTCACTCTTTCAAAAAACTTTAGCTGAAAGTTATGTTTTTTCACCATACCTAGCTAGATGCAAAGGCCGCTAGAAAGATGTTGTTTTGTTTTTTTATAAGAAAATGCAATAATCATTTTAGCTTTTTTATCAGCAGCTCACAACTTTAAATAGCTGCAGTTGCATCAAACAAACCTTGTGTTTGCGAGTTTAATTCGGGTCTACTTTGACCCAAAATTGAATCGACCAAAATTTATTTGACCTGAATTTGACATGAATATTAAATGAGAGTCGGAAAGCTTGACTCATCATCAACCTGATTGGCCCAAGTCAACCTGCATAACATGTTCAATATATGCATGATAATAATATGAGTAAAATTAGGATCATTTTTTAGTTTAAGATCGGGTCAATTTTGGAGTCAATTTGATTGAAGGGTTATATTGGGGTCAATGTCAAGTTAGTGAGTTAACATTGGCGGGTCAGTTCAACTATATTCAAAATATTTAAACATGTTGGAATTTTAGACTCAAAGTGGGCATGTAAATTAATCAGATCAACTCAAGTTCAGATCTTTTGAGTTAGATTCAAGTTGAGTTAACGCGTCAGATCAATTTCTTACACGCACAAATGTAACACCTAAATATGATTTTATGTTGACCATTAATATGTTCTTAATAATTGGTTTAAATAGATAAATTATTTTCTTATAATTTAATCCTAATTGCCTAATTTATTTATTCAATTATGAAATTTGAACTACTATTTTCTTACTTCAAAATATCCATATTTTAACCATATTTTATAAAAAAAAAAATGATTATCAATATGTTAAATTTGCATAGAATTATATCAATTTTAGTGAAATAATTACTTTTCTATGTCATCCCTCCCCAAAAATATAAATAAATGAATAAATAACATAAAGAAAGGTTTTCATGAACACTTTAATTTATCCGAATGAATAAATCCTTCTATGTCAAAATTGATTTATTTTGTTATATATTTAAATAATCTAAGAGATAATAAATTTCATGAATAACTTGAGTTTCAAGTGAAATTTAGTCATCGAAGAATATTAATTGTTAGCTTTTGATTTGAATTATTAAAATCAGATATGGAAATTCAATTATCCTTGTTGCAATAAAAATAAAAAATAAAAATACCTTCAAGTATATAGAAATATGCATAAATAACGTGTTAGCAGGTCTGCTTCGGGTATGACCTGAAATTGACATGACTGGCTCGAATCGGTTTTACCCAAACCCAACTTGAATATTTTACGAGTTGAAAATCCCACCTCGTAGCCGACCCACCTTCAACCCGCCAATATGAACCCAACCCTTATAACCCTTTCAACATAAGGAAAAAAAAAAAAAACATGATGTGGGTTTAAATTGGATCAATTTTGAGATAGTTTCAAATCAATTTCGAACTGACAGATCAACCCGAACTCAACCCAAAAAAATGGAGCCATCAGGCTCATAAAATGCAAGAGAAAAGTAGTTCCACAAACAAATTTGTGGTGACACTCTGAAACTCAATTTACTTTTTAATGTTTAATTATGCCCTAATATATCAAAATGAAGCCATCATGCTCATAAAATTCAAATCAACCCAGAATTCAAAGATTACTTAATTTATTAAATAGCATCATAAGATCTCATATTATACTTCAAAAGCTTGTAATTACAGGCTTTTTAACTCAAAATCACGGCAACATCACCGAGTCACAGGTCCTTTCACAAATTTAACAAGACAAAAAATGCAAATATTTATACAATTATATAAAATTTCTCATATATACATTTATTACATATAAAAAAAATATTTAGAATCCAAACCTTAACCTTAGCTGGAATTTGTCATTCAGTTCTTCAGCTGTGGGCATTTTGGTGCCATCCCTTGAGCTTTGAAACCACCATGCCATCAATTCATCCTGCAATTGTTGGAAGCAAATTTAAATGAATGTCATGCATTCTTTATTTAACACCCAAATAGGACGCAATGGAGAAAAAGGATTCATGTAGCCGACCCCACGTAGTGGGACGAAGGCTTTGTTGTTGTTGTTGTTGTCATGCATTTTTTATATATTTGCATATCTAACACCCAAACATTCATATTTATAGCGTTTTCGTGTGACGGAGCCTTTATATGAAAAGATGCATTTAACATTTTGCAATAGGTGATAGTGATATTTTTTTGACGTGACATTAATGTTCTTCGTGTTATACATAGAAATTTTGAAGTTAGGGGGTTAGATGTGTAAATACATAAGAATTGTGTGATATGTATGTAAATGACCCCTATCTTTTCTAAACCAAAGAAGGCAAAACCAAACATAGAATGTTCAAGTAAACTTTTTTATATATGCCACCATCTAAACGAAAATTGACGATCAATATAAGTTTATATAAACGAACACGTTCACAACTCGTTATAGATAGATGTGTGGTTAGGATCGGAGTCGGTTATTACGTTCGGTGAACCACACATCCAGAGAACGGCCATGATTAGGCCACATCACCATGCATTTCACGTGACCGGATCATCGCCAATGTCCAGATGTGCACACACCAAATGTAATAATTTCTCCTAAGTAAGGGAAACGTGTGCGTATGAGTTCGCTTGATGAGTTCTAATAAAAGACATAATTAGCAAATGAAAAACTCTTAAATTGGTTAATTCTACGGGTTTATTCAACAACTTAGATTCGAATGTTGGGTTAAAGTAACTCATGAGCAATGCTTAAGACAAATTTCTTCTCTTAACCTCATAGATCTTGATAGTAAGTTCCAAGTGCTTGCTAAGACTAAATATTTGAAGTAGGCAACAAAAAAATTAGAAGCATTGAGATATATAAGGCTGAGAATGATTGGCAAATTGAATGTTTGATAACTACGAGCAAAGTGTTAACACCACAACAAGTAGGAGGCAAAAGCGAACCAACATGTCATGAATCGCTCAAATTGGTCGAAAACTTTGCCCATTATATTCATCGAAGAAGTTGGTGAGTGTAGGATGGAAGTCATCCCGATGAGAAAATTGTGAGTTTTTCAAGATGAAGCCAATTTGCAGTGTGGGCTGAGTTCATCCTTTATCAAATGATTGATGAGGAATATATGCATCACAAGGTAGCACTTGACACACAATTTCACAATGGCTTGGGTGAAGCTACACTATCCTTTTTATGAACCAAACAATAAATCATCTCTCAAAATATAAAATTGAGTATTAATATCACAGTCGTCCTCTCCTCTGTATTTTATTTACAAATGGGATGTTAGGCAAACCTGCCAATTACTTTTATTAAAAAAAATTTTGTTGTCCTGCAAATGCTCATATTAATAATTGTAAACATATCTACAAAGTGTGTTTTTCTTGATTATAAAACTGAAGTTAAAGGTTATATGTTATGGTATAAAAAAAATAAGAAAGTGATAATTAGAATAGATGTTATATTTAATGTGTTTGTCATGTTACATACAACATCTAATACAAAATTTCAAAATGATGATCATAAGGAAATGTCTAGCAAACAAGTGGAACTATAGATTGATACATGCACATCTTCGGGCATAACTTCTGAGTCAAATTCAGATAATCTTAATGTTGTTCTCTCACCATCACAACAACAACCATCACAAAACTCTAATGCTAAAAATATAACAAGAAGAGAAATTAAGCCGCCTCGGAGCTATGTTGAGGCTGATTTGGTTGTTTATGCTATAAATGCAGCTAGAGATATTGAGTGTAGTAAAGAACATTCTAGCTATAAAGAAGTAGTGAACTAAATCTACGCTGATAATTGGATGATTGTTATGTAAGAGGAGATTGAATCCCTACATAAAAATAAAACCTAAGTTGAGGATGCCTGATATAAGGTTAGGATTGTTGCAAATGGATTGAGTCAAATTCCAGGTGTAGATTTTGCATATATATTATCTTTGATTGCCAAACATAGTTCATTTCGAGTTTTACCTGGTATTGTGGCTAAGTATGACCTTGAGCTTGAGCAGTTCAATGTGAAGGCTGCATTTTTGAATGGAAAGATTAAAAAAAACATTTATATGTAGCAGCGTGAGGGTTTCGTGGTTACAGAAAAAAGAAGACCATGTTTCTTTGTTGAAGAAATTTTTTTATGGTTTGAAACAGTCTTCTAGGCAGTGGTATAAGAAGTTTGACTCTTTCATGGTCGCTCATAAGTTTAAGAGGAGTAGTTATTATAATTGTGTTTACTTAAAAAAATAATAATGGATTGTTTATATAGTTGCTCTTATATATCGATGATATGTTGATCACTACTAAGGATAAAGAAGATATCAAGACTTTAAAAGCTCAATTTAACAATAAATTTGAAATGAGAAATTTAGGAGCTGTAAAGAAAATACTTGGTATGGAGAATTAGAGAGATAGAAATGTAAGCAAAATATTTCTAAGTCAGAAAAGGTGCATTGAAAAAGTAGTGAATATAGTTAATATAAAAAATGTCAAGCCTTTTAGTATTCCATTAGCAGCATATTTCAGGCTTTCATTAACTTTGTGTTCACAATCTGACGATGAGATTTAATATATGTCTCAAGTTTCATATTTCAGTGCAGTGGGATCTTTCATGTATGTTATAGTATGTTCTCGTCTAGATTTATCATATGCAGTCCGTGCAGCTAGACGATATATGAGTAATCCGAGTAAATAACATTAGCAGCAATTTAGTGGATCTTCGGGTATCTATATAGAACAAAAGATGTTTGTTTGTAGTTTAGGAAGACTACATATAGAGACTTTGACAATGTCTATTCATATTTTGTTGAAGATCTGGATTGAAGGAGATCACTTACAGGATACGTTTTTACTATTAGTGGATGTGCAATTAGAAGGTTACCTTACATAAAAGGTGGCACTATCCACAAATGAAGCCGAGTATATGACAAGTATTGAAGCTTGCTAAGAAGCTCTCTGGTTGAAAGGTCTGTTTGAAGAGCTTAATGAATGTGTGATAATTAAAAGTGTTATTTATCTCAGCAAAGATCAAATGTTTCATGAGAGAACTAAGCACATTGATGTTCATTATCATTTCATATGTGAAGTTATCGCTTGTGGCGATATTATTGTGGCCAAGATTAGTAACCATGATAATTCTGCAAATATGATGACAAAAGTACTTTCAATAGCCAAGTTTGAGCATTACTTATACTTGGTTGATATTTTTTTCTGATCACCAGAGCTTTGTGAAAGGGGTGAAGATAATTTTATTCTTTACATTCTTTGGAAATTTGTGTCATGATGAACATTACTAAATTTATGACTCGAATTTTGTGGGGTCTGCTTCGTCTCGTAATAAAATTATGACCAAATGGATTGTGGCTTTCGAAGGAAACTGTGAGCATACGAATTGAAGGTATAATACCCTTTAGATTGCAACCCGTATGCTATTGTTTTATGACTCTTTTAATTATTTCCTTTAAAGGGATATTGTTAAAACTATAAATATTTCTCTTATATTTTGTGCATGACATTCTCCACTTATAATTTCTTATTTAATATAGTGAATTCTCCTCCTATGCCCTTAATTTTTCCCATCGTTGTTTTCCATGTAAACTCTTTGTGTTGTTTCTTTTTTACTTATTTCATTATTTATTGCATCGATTTAATATTAATTTATAACAAAAGATAAATTTACATTAATTTCTTGTTATAGAAATGGCATGTTGTGTCACAACAACCATTCTAATATCTTTTATTATCTCTTATGTATTTGTATATCCAACACATAAACTTCAACTTTTACATATATGCCACCTTACCTATGGTTAAAAAAGTTGTATTTTTTATGTCATATGAAAGCTTTGGAGGGTATAAATGTAAAAATCAAAGTTTAGGTGTTACACAAGTAAATACAAAAGAATTGTTTGGTATGTATGTAAATGCCCAAAATAAAAATGTGATACCTCATTAAAATCATGATTGGAAATAAAGGGGCGAGTGATTAAGTAAGTTGAACTTCCAACACACACAGAGATGGAACTTTGGCAACTCTCAGCTGTAAATAAACATAAAACCCCTTAATTTTAAGATGAAAACTATGCAAATTAATAATTACCCATTAACATGAAAAGAGTGTCAATAATTTACCATTAATGCGAGCCACATGGTAGCGCGTGCTCTCCAAGCCTTTTTCTAGCTTCCCAATCCTCAAGCGCAAGAAAAAACCTCCAAGATTATAATGGGGGGCCCTTGATTTCATCCATCTAAATATTTCATGTGAAACAAATAAATATTAGCAAATAAATGAAGAGGAAAAAGGATATAAATGCCCAAAAAATAATAAAATATGTAAATAAATGCAATAAAAGGACTATATAGGTCATACAGTGCAAACCTAAAATGAGCTTAGGACCATATTGTAAAAATTTCAAGCATAGGATATAAATTCCTAAAATATCTATATTTTTATCACCACCAATTAACTTAAGAGTTTAATTTTAGTTACTCTTAACAAAGAGATCATTTTGATTCTAATTTTAAGAGTCGAGAGGCTAAATCAAACATTTAATAAAATCTATGACTATAACGTCCCCCACAGATAGTAGGGGGGCCATTTTGGTTCTTTGAACCGAAAAGATTGATCCTGATTTATTTCAATTGTTTTATTAAGAACATCTAGGTTTGTGCTCAAATGATTGATGTGGGAGTTTAGTGGAAACTACGAGCAAAACTCCTTTGACCAGCAAATTGCGGGATTCTGTATCACAGGACAAAAGCTTCCCGCAACCACGGACGTTCAGCCGACCGAGTAAACCTTCCTATTTTATTTTATTTTATTTTATTTCATTTATTTTCAGCATGTTTATTTCCTTTGATTCTTTCCTTTCTCATCATTTCTTGCTTCTCTAGTTTCTATGTAGGTATTTGTCATGAAGGGACTTTTATATGTCATAAACTCGTAGTATGTTGTTTGGGATTTTAGTATTTGTTAATTTTATGAATTGAGAGACGTTCTATTGTGTTATGTTTTTCAGAGTGTTATATTATCTTCCTTTTGCAAGTGGTGTATTAATATTTTACTCAGCAATAGGTGGTGGAACCTCCTTGCCTCCTGCACGTCACCGATTTAGAGTTTTTTGTGTTATTTTCAGTTTGGAAAGCTGCCAACAGCAGATCTATCCCCTCAATCCCACTCAAACGCCGCCGAACTCACATTTACCTTTCCCTTGTCATTCCACAACGACATCCTCCACAAATCCCATTCACAAATACATTTTAGGAGCTTTGAAACATTATCAATGATTTTTGTGCCGCAAGGTTCAAACAAGTAACTACTCATCTAACTCCACTAATTGATTTTGAGGTTTGGGGACATCATTAACACCAATATCAAAGCATTGATATAAATTTATCAATGAGATTCAGAGCCCCTACAACACTAATCTTGGGGCATAGGACCTCCATTAGTATGTTAGTTCATCACATATCACAAAGAAAATATTAAGGGAATAAGGCTATAGAAGAGACTAGCACACAGTTTGAGGCCTGTATAGATCCAATTCAATTACCTATCAGGCCAATGACAAAAGCATGTATAAGAAAGTTCAAACAAGCACTCGATGAGCGAATTCACCGTACGCGGGTTCAAGCTAAAGCCTGAACACCCCCTAGGAGTTTCACATGTTTAGTGAAATATAACCCATTAGAATAGACATTTGCACTTACCTTAGAACATCCAAGCGAGACAACCGAAGCTTTCTTACAGCAACAAAAAATGCTTCTGGCTTATCTATTATTGTTGTCGGCAAGCGACTGCAAAATGTCTTGAATTCAGATTTCTTTAATCCATTTTCCGACGGACGAGAAGACGACAACTTCATTTTATTCATATTAATACTATCCTCCCTTCGAAAAATATGTAAATCGATTGAACCACAGCCTGCCACTTCATTCTTTTCACTTCTAACCTCTTCACCAACCACAATATCAGTTTCTATAGTTTCATTCTCTTTCTGAGAAAGAGTGCTGCCATTGAGAACTTGATGAAGAAACATCTTATCTTCAGACCGGAACATAATCGACGGATTTACATGTTTATGCTTTGCTGTACTCTTGAACTTAACATCACTGAAACAATTAGCCATGAAAGAAATATGGCTTCCTTCAGAGGAGGGATTTGGACAAGAAGCAGCCCAATGATCAAGCTGGAAACAAAGAATACAAAGACATGATTCCCTGTTAATGCTACCATACACTGAAAAGGATTTCAGATACAGCTCCAACTTGGTTTCAACCACCTCGGAACACTCCCTTGTAATATGATCATTCATGCCACAAAATATGCAAATTTCCGAAGATTTCATAAGGTTCGATGCATCAAATCTCTGTGAAAAAGAAGAATTTGTTGGTTTCAGTCTTTTGCAGTACTTGGGAGATATTGTCAACTGTAATTTGGATTCATGTTTCTCTGTTAAAATCCTTACAGAACCATCTGAATCAATATGTAAAACTAATTTGTGCTGTGGTTTTTCACTAAATCTTACTTTTTTAGCTGATAAATCTAAGCAATTTGAGAATTTTATTGGCTTGAATTGAGGAGAAGAAACTCCTTGAGAAAGTCTTGGTATCCATAAGCTATCATGAAAAGCTTGTCCCCTATTCGCCGTCAACTCAGCATGGCAATCTGAGGAATACATAAAATCAATAGAGAAATTTAAATGCCATAAAACAATTCTTATGTTATGTATTTGCGTATCTCACACCTAAACTTTCATATTTACATGCATTGCACTTTCGTGTTCTAAACTTACGCATATAAAGGAGCATTTCACTTTTAAAAAGTAGTAATAGTATTATTTTTTATGCAGTATTAAAGATTTGATTGCTATGTTTGTAAAAATGAATGTTTAGGCGTGAGATATGTAAATACATAAGTATTGTGTACTATGTATGTAAATACACCAATTATATTAGAAAAGCTTACATATACTCATGATGAATGATTGTTTGAGTTTGAATTTTGCATTTTATAAACACCAAATGAGAGCATACCCATTGCAGCAGACGGAGAACCTTTAACTTGACAATTATCTTTGATATATCTATTGCTTGAAGCCAAAACTTTATCATGGATTTCAATATCGTTCGCCCTAGGGTCAATACCAACTAAGGTTTCTACTATAGCAGAGTTGTTTTCTTTCTCATCGTCGCCAAAGTTCAATCTTTCAGGAAGCACACAACAAGAGACATTACTCGCTTTCGCTTCTTCGGCTCCTTTTGAAGTATCCATCTCTTTCTGACAATCAAAATTTTTAATTTTATCACTAAGTGCACTGTTTCCAGGGTGGTATACAGCATGAAAGATTGATCTAAACCCCCTACTCCCATGAGAAACACCAATACTTTCTCTTCTCTCTTCTGAAAAAGAAAAAGGTGGTTCCATATGTCTATCTTGAGGTCTACTCAGCCCATTGGTTATAGAACTCATCCAATTCATAAAAGAAAAGTTGCCATTTTTCGATCCTTTCAACCTTTTACCTGCGGCGAGTTTTTCAGACTCTGAGTCATGAAGTCTCGCTCTTTTAATGGTTGAAACTATGCCCCGGCTGCTAATGCATTCGTTGTTCTCACAGCCAACATCCCTCCTGTTTGAAGAGCTTCTGCTTTCATCTTCTGATTCATAAACAATTGGTTCTTTGCCTTTGTTGATCTTGGAAACACCATTAATGGAGGAACTGAGCTTACCACCCAAATATCTATGATGTGATTCCAATTTTCTATCTTTGTTTCTTGCAAAATCCATAGAAAAAGCAACTTTTGTGGGTCTATATGTTGATGCTGAACTTCTTTTATAGTTTCTGCTAAATTCTTCAGAGATATCAAGCGAATGTGGTTCGCGGTCGACATCTTTATTATAGATTTGTTTTGTTCTTATGGATGGTTCAGTCTTTGGAGGGTGATTATCTGAACCTACAAAATTGCAGTATATTCAGATGCCAATTGCTGGTAATAGTGCAAAAAAACTATAGGGGCATTTACATGCATACCCCACTGATACTATGTATTTATATATCTAACATCTAAATTTTACTTTTGACATTCATACCGGTTATATCTTTCATGTCACATAAGAAAATACCATCATTTTAATATTTAGAAAGTGAAATACACCTTTTCATGCATAGGTATGGTGGGGGTGTATGTAAAAATTTAATTTTTAGGCGTTTGCTATGTAAATACATAGGAATTGAGTCATATGTATGTAAATTTTCCCAAAATATAGGAATTTTGAATAGAAGTCCTGGTAGATTCATTCATTTGTAAACAAAGACAACATATTTCAACATTTGCATGACAATTAAGAAGTTTAATGGTTAAGTGATTGAAGGAAAAATTACAAATAAAGTACTAAAAATTTATGTATTTACAAAACTAGAACCCATGTCATTTTTTTTTAAACTACCAAATCCATATATTTATGTGTTTTTGAAATGTGATAATAGCGAAAAACACAGATTTGGGCTTTAATGTTAACTTTGATAAAAAAAAAAATAATATCAAATGAGGTATATTATATAAACCTTGATAAAAATCAAATATCCTTAAAACATTTATGCAAATGTACCTAACATGAAATTCTTCCCTTGAACGAAAAGGATACCGGCCTTCTCATCAAGCAAATTAAAGTCATTGTGATAAATTGGGAAATTATTTCCTACTTTTTCTTCGTAATGTTCATCTCCCTCGTGTTTCGCTTGAGAAACTTCGTCGTCTTTCTCCTTAAACTCCTCCATATTTATAGAAGATCCCCAAATATATGGTTGACCTTGAATTACTCAAAGAATACTTCGATAAAAGAAATCGCTCTCAAAAGAGTGCATTGAAGGTATGAAGCTCCCACCGATGCAAGATCGGTGAAGGATTGATTCACGCAGTCTTAACCCTGCACGAGAAAAGAAATTGTAGAGATGATGTTTTAATAAATAACAATCACTTTTGTTTTTATTTTGTCAAGTAAGAAATGGATAGATATAAACATAGAAAATAAAAAAGAAAAATTTACATATATACCAATCAATTTATATGCATTTACATATCTAACCTCTTAACTTCAATTTTTACATACACGCAACCTTACATATGCATGAAAAGATGTATTTTCGCTTTCAAAAAGCTAAAATAAGTTAAGAGTATGGTATATATTTGATATGATATCAAAGCTTTGGGGTGTATGGATGTAAAAAAGTAAAGTATAGGTGTTAGATATGCGAGTACGTATATATGAATTGGGTGTTATGTATGTAAATTCCCTAAATAAAAAATAGGGACTTTTACATACACACCACACAATTCTTATGTGTTTACAAATCTAACACCTAAACATTCATATTTACATGCATATCGCACAAAACTTTAACATTACATCAAAAATACCACCATCACTGTCTTTTTAAAAGTGAAATACATATTTTCATGCATAATTTTATGCCAAAATGATGTTTAAATATCAAACTTTGGATGTTACATATGTAAATACATAAGAATTGTGTTAAAGCAACAGCTTGCATACCACAAGCGCTTCTTGCACAACCAACTTTTCTACCGCACTTAAAATGTTTGTCCTTCATATAAGAATTTAGTTAATTGCAACGAGCTTAATTAGCTTGCGCTCGCAAAGATTTCCACCATCGCCTCTCTTCCCTCCATACTTAGAATTTGGCGATAAAACCGCCTTTTTTAATTTCTAGTGACTACTCCACAAAAAAGTCTTGATTTTCAAATATCATATATAGTAGTCCTTGAGTCTTCATTTAACTCTATTCCAAGCAATTCATACCTACAAAGCACAAAGAATCTAGCATGGATTATCTACCGAAAGTATTGATGGATGCGTGGCACACAGTTCTTATGTGTTTACATATCTCACAGCTACAATTTTATATTTATATACATCCCACTTTGGTGCTTTAAACTTATGCATGAAAAAGTGTATTTTAATTTTAAATAATGGTAAAGTGCTATTTTTTTATGTAATATTAAAGATTTGAGTGCAATGTGTGTACATACAAAGCAATTGTTTTTATGCGTGTAAATGGCCCTAAAATAAATATAAATAAGAATAATAAACCAAAAAATTAGAAAATAAAATCAAAAAAAGAAAAAAAAAATGTAAAAGAAGAGTAGGAAGTGGAGGCAAAACCTAATTAAAGAAGGGGCATGCAACATTTTAACAAATCATTTAATGCTTACTTGGATGTGGTCTTAGCGGGTGATCAAGAATGAGTGTGGCCAACATCAATGACCATCATTGCACTTAGATGGGGTGTTGCTCTACCATTAGCCCGAGTGCTAGAGAGGAAGTCATAATATGTGGTAGGGGGTTCGCATTCTCGCGGCCCCCTATTTATATTAATGTTGTTTTAACACATTGATATACCTTTTTCTCGTGATCGCTATATTATTCTTCGTAAAATCAAGAAACTCACAGTTAGACAAAAATAAAATTAAAACTTGGATCACAAAACAATGATCAAACAAAAAGTAATATCCTAAAAACAAAAACAACTAAAATGTAACCTAAACAACTATATCAATCAATAATTTATAAGTATCTCAAAGTAAATTTTTTGAGGTGTTTTGTTTCCTTCTATGTCTATGATAATCCAAGTAAAGAGGAGTAACTATCAATCAGACAAAATGTTGCTAAAGCTCAAATTATACTTCCCAAATGTCAAAAGTTGTTTCCTAATTCACGAACATGAAACTTCAAAACTCATTCATGTTCACCACGTCTGCTAAGTCAACATCACTTATTTTATATTCATAAAGTAAGATAGACATTTCAAGCTCTTACTATGTTGCAGGAATATGGACACGAACAAGACACAACACGGGACACTTCTATCATATATATATATCATCTATTTAT